GGAGGCAGGGAGGTCAGGGGAGGCAGGGAGGTCAGGGGAGGCTTCCGGAGCTGTGAAGGCTCAGGATGGGAGCTTCTCAGAGGCGGTGTTCTGGAAGCGACAGGACACGGGGGGGCCCCATGTTCAGGGCCCAGCAAGGGGGTGGGGAGCTCAAGGAGCCGAGGCTGCCTGACCTGTAGGCCCTAAGATTCACATGCTACAGCCCACGCGGAAGGTGACGGGAACACCCTGGGGGAGCTCCGTGTCACCTCAGTGCCACCAGGGTTTCCTCCAGGAGAAGGTTATTCTTTGCGACATCTCATTCTGGGCTCGCTCTGGCCCCACTGAACAGATGAGGTAACTGAGGTTCCATCCCCCAGACCCGGAACCATCAGCCCCTGGCCCCCCCAGGCCCTGCAGCCCCCCAGGTGGTGCAGGATCCTAGGAGCCCTGGGCCCATCAGTGGGGAAACCTGGGGTCCTTAAGACCATCCTCAGCCACCTCTTCCAGGAAGTCTTCCCGGCTTGCTCTGGCTGGGAACCTCTCCCTGAAGTCCACCCCGGCCTGGGTGGGATCCAGCAAATGTGTTCCCGGTGGGGATCCTGGAGGCTGGGGATCCCTGCGACCCCGCCCAGCCCACCGTGCCCCATCATGCAGGGCAATGAGAAAAAGCACAAGAAAAGAGGGGGGGCGAGGAGGGGTTTCTGGAAGGAAAATATTTTGGTTCTCAGGAGGCGAGAAAATTGCCTGATTCCCAACCGATTAGGGGTAATTAACCCTTCGCAAGGCAGTAATTAAGTCTGCTGACTCTGAAGCCATAATTAGAAGTCCCAGAGGCTCCGCCCCCTCCCCACCAGCGGGGCAGCCCCTTCTGCACCAGCGGGGACAGGAGACCGCGAACTGCCCCCCTCTGGGGGCGGAGGCCTGGCCTCTGGCCCCCACCCCAAGGCAGGGACCTGCAGCGCAGGGTGCGTGGGACCAAGTTTCCCTGCACATCGCCTGCGGGGCTGAGAGGTGCACAGGCAGCATGAGGCAGGGGGCTGGGCCGGGGGCTGGGCGGGGGGCTGGGCAGGGGGCTGGGCAGGGGGCTGCGGTGTGGAGCTGGGGACAAGCCTTCAGGGCCCCTTCCTGGGCCAAGAGGCTTTACAGCAGAGACCCCAGCCGTATGGGGACAGGGATGCCAAGGACCATAGGCAGGAGGGGGAGGTCCTGGGGCTCAGAGAGGCCAGGGCACCCTATGGTCAGGTGCTCACCACAGCCACCCAGCTGTCAGAGGTGGGGACCCTGGGGCCTGCAGTGTCCCTTAGTGTCAAGGGGGAAGCCAGGCCTTGGGAGCTGGGTGACACCAGACCCACAGGGTGGGCCAGAGGATGAGATAGAGAACGGGCCGCGCCTGGTGGTTCACGCTGTCATCCCAGCATGCTGGGGAGGCTGAGACAGGAGGATCTCAGGTTCTCAACCAGCCTCAGCAAAAGCTACTCAGTGAGGCCCTGTCTCTGAATAAAATACAAAATAGGGCTGAGGATGTGGCTCAGGGGTCGAGTGCCCCTGAGTTCAATCCCGGCTACCCCCTCCCCCAACAAAAAGATGGAGAACAGAAGCTGGGTGCCAAAGATGGGGTACCCCTGGGTGTGGGGCTTATTCTCCTCCCCTGGGCTCTTAGGTAGTGGCCCCGGGGCCGTGACCGATCATGTCAGCCTCCATCGCACCTCAGCTCAGCTCAGCTCTGGTCACCCTGACTTCCTTTCCTATCGTCCATGCTCCCCTCTGCCCCAGTGCCTTTGCATCTGCGGTGCCTTCCCCTGGACAGCCTTCTTCCACGCTTTTAAAAATGCTTTTGTGGTGATGGGGATCTGGGGATCCAATCCAGGCCTTCCATTTGCAAAGCAAACCCGGGCTCCACCACTGAGCTACCTCCTGCCAGCCGGTGGCTCCAGTCCTGGGATACCTCCCACAGTCCCGGCCACATCACCCGGAGCAGCCCCCTCCTCTCCCATGGCTCATTCCACCCTGTTCACCCGGCTCCTCCGTGGCCCATGGCGATTGCTTTCGTCCTTTGTTGTCTTCTCTCAGGCTGCGACTTTCAGGTAATCAGAAGGTCAGGTTTATCCGTTTTATTTCTTGCATCTTCTGAATCGAGCAAGCACACAGTAGGCGTGCAATAAATGTCTGTGGCGTGGATAAATGGGCCGGTTCTGGCTGGGGAAAGCGGGATTTGGAGAGAATTTCCTGGACGTGAGCTGCTTCCCTAACTCCCGGGGGCGGGGCCTGGCGCCCCAGGTGGGAGCCAAGGGGGCGGCGACCCACTTTCCGGGGCGTCGCACGCGCCTCCCGCTGGCGGCCCACAGGTGGCGCTCGTTCCCCGCGCTGCAGCGGCGGCCCGCGAAGGAGGCCGTGCAGGAGGGGGAGGCCCGGGTTCAGCCCGCTCGCTGCTGTCCCCCTTGGGTGGCGAGGTCGTGGGGCCGTGCTCTGGGGCTCGGCTGCTGGCGGGAGGCCCTTCTTGGTGAAGGCTTTTGATTTCAAGTGGGAGTCTGCGGAGGAGGAGAGCCCAGGGCTCCGCCCTTGTGCCCACGCGTGCTCCTGTGTCCCCCAGATGAGTCCGGCAGCCCCGAGCCTGGGGAGTGGGGAAAGCGCTTGCCCTGGGCGTGTGGGGCCTTGACCATTTGGAGACTGGAGCTGCACACGGTGCCTCCTGGTCCTCAGCGGGTCCCCGGGGCACATCTGTGCCAGAGCGAGAGGCCCAAGCCCGTTTTGCAGGCGGGAAAACGGAGGCTCAGGAAGGCGTGTGGCCGGCCCAGGTTCAGAGCCAGGAAAACGGTGAGGTTGGGTTTGGAGCCTCCATGCCTGTGTGGCTCCAGGATCAGGTTACTTTAAAAATTTTTTTTTTTAAAACCAGGCATGGTGGCACAGGCCTCTAATCCCAGCTACCCGGGAGGCTGAGGCAGGAGGCTGAGGCAGGAGGATCGCAAGTTGGTGTCTAGCCTGGGCAACTCCGCTAGACCGTGTCTCAAAATAAAATTTAAACGGCTGGGGGTGTAGCTCAGTGTCAGAGAACTTGCCTAGCACGGGCAGGGCCCCCCCACATTCAATCCCCAAGTCCTGCCAAATCAATCAGTCAATAAATGAGATGCATTTCTTAGCTACCCAGGTGAGACAGCGGTCACTCTGGGGAGCTCAAACCTGCCCTGACATTCCCTTCTCAGCCCCAAGGTGGTGGGAAGGTCGCTCTCTAGCCTCCTCCGCTGCCTCCATAGGCATGCTGCAGGGGCCTCTGGATTTCCCAGTGGTCACTGAGCATAATGTTGTGCTCTCTGAGTCTCAATTTCCCCATCTGAAAAATGGGCTTGATGGACATTGAGCCCTCTGTGGGCAAAGCCTGGCATACAGGTGGTGCCCAGAATGTGCAGGTCCCCTCAGGTCGTCTAAAACATAATGGTGGGAGACGCCTCGGGCTTGATCCTTCCCACATATTTCTCCAGTACAGGCCCCGGGGACACAGGTCTTGCTGGGTGTCTGTGTTTGACTCAAGCGACCCTCAGTGTCCCTGGAGGCTCCGTGGACATGCTCACGGCGTACAACCCTGGGCTTCGGGAGACCAGGCCTTCTCAGCCTCCACGCCCTTGACATTGAGTTCAGGTTATTCTTCACCAACAGAGACCCTCCTGAGCCTGGGAGGGTACTGCGCGGTGTCCCGGCCTCCGCTGGCTAGATGCCATACTGCCTGCGTCCCCAGAGTTTTTACAAGCAGAAATATCTCCAGGGTCCCCTGGGGGAAGAACTGCCCCTCTGGGCCCCCTGGGAGGCTCACCGCTGGGCCGGGGGATGTGCTGGCCTTCACCTCTCTGTGCGAACCTCGAGCCTGAGCCTCGCTGGGCTTCCCAGGAGCAGATCCTGGTAGAAGGAGTCCTTGCTTATTTGGGAGGGGGAAGGGACGTCCAGCAGGTCATGCTCTGGACACCCGGGGTTGGACCCTTCTGCAGGCCCAGGGAGACTGTGGACAGCGCCTGCCAGGGAGGGGGCGGGGGTATTGACCATCCACTGCTTCTCTGGCCCCCCGGGCTCCTGGGACGTTAATCTGGGCACTTCTGGCTCCGGGCCACGTGCACTCGAGTGCTCAGGGCCCAGACGTGTTCCTGGCGGGGAGGCATCTGCGCGAGGTGCCTCTGCCCTTCTGTGCGGCTGTCCCCCGGGGGTCTCTTTGGGCTCCCGCCGGCTGTGTGTGTGCCCGGGTGTGTGCCCCGTGTGTGCCCCGTGTGTGCGCCCCGGTGCGTCTGTGTTTGTCTGTGTTTGTCTGTGTTTGTGCTCGCCTTTGTTTTCCCTTCTGCTCCGTCTCCAGGCACGTGGGGGGAACTTCTGGGTTGTTGATGATGTTGGTGGGAAGTGGTCTTTCCGTCCCTTTTGAGAGGTCAGAGTTAGGGGTGTCCCATCCTGAGACCCTCTCAGAGGGAGCAGCCAAGCCCTGGCTGCCTCCTGGGTGCCCAGGAGGGAAACAGAGGCCCTAGGGGGCTTGGCAGAGGGCCGCCAGAGAGAGGGAGTTGACAGGGAAGCAATTGGGTGTCGAGTGTTTTACTTGCAAAAAAGCTTAGTGAGACCACCACTCCGGACCGCAAGGTGGCTTCTTCCTTTACTCTTTTTTTTTTTTTTTCAGTTCTGGGGATGGAACCCAAGGGTCCTCTACCACTGAGCTACATCCCCAGCCCTTTTTATTTTTATTCTGAGGCAGGGTCTGGCTAGTTTTCTGAGGCTGGCCTCCAAGCGTGATCCTCCTGCCTCAGCCTCCTGAGTCACTGGGATTACAGGGTGGGCACCCCGGCGGCCAGCTGTGCATAAGGAATTCTTCCCACGGGCAGATGAGGAAACCGAGGATGGGGATGGGACCCAGCTTCCTTGGGAAGCCCTGAGCTCCCAGCTCTCCAGGGTCCTTGTGCTTTGCTCCAGTGGCAGGCATTGTTGAAGCCCTCCAGATGGTCCCTGCCTCGGTTTCCCACCTGGTTGCCGTGAGTCCTGGCTGCTGGCCCGGGCAGCCCAGCCCTGGAGATGTGAATGATCTGTTTCCTGGCGGGGCGCCCAGTGCCTTGTGCTTCCCTCTTGCGGCTGCCGCGGGCCCAGAGGTCTGGCTGATCTGTGAACACAGATATTAATTAGCCTTAATTAATAAATCCTGCGGGGTGGGGGCAGTGCTGGCGGACACCCAGGCTCTGAAGGACCAGAAGCTGACTTGGGTGCCTGGTGAATGGCACTCAGGGCTGGGGTCCTGGCCGGGCCGAGGGCAGGGGGCAGGTTGGCACCACGTGCGTGGGAGGTTTTCGCCTAACACAGGGGCTTTCCGGCTCGGCCCAGGAGGCCAGGTTGCGTCGTCCCTGGGCTTCCTGCAGCTGCGGGATGGCATCTGCACCAGAGGACACCTCGCCTCACCCTGCAGGGGATGGAGCTTTGGTCCCCGGAGGTCCCTGGCCACGCGGGCTCTGCTCCTGCTTTGGCACCTGCCTAGCCCCGGGCAGGGTGCTCTCCGCTCCCGCCTCCTACCTCATCTGTAGCAGGAGGCCATTTCTGCCTTGCAGGGTGGTGGGGAAAATGAGTGGCCCTGTGCCTTTCACGTCACATATACAGAGACTCCATGGAAGTCAGGGACTGGAGTTCAAGTCTCAGCCGCCACCAGGGCCAACTCTGTCGCTTCCCAGGTGGGTGTGAGCCAGAAAGGGGGACTTGACCTCTCTGGGATCAGTCTCTGCGTCTGTACCATAGGACGCTCACTCCCGGAGCTCCACGGGGTTGTTACAGAGATGAAATAAAAAGAATTCCGCACGATGCTTGTAACTGTGTTGGGCTCCTCGAACGTGCACAATGGAAGGTGGCTTTAATTGGGGGGAAAGGATCTTCTGTGATTGAGCTGAAGATTGAAGGCGTGGGGTGCGGGCAGGGGGACACGCCATCCAGTAAGGGGGACCTCGCATCACACAGAGGAAATCGCACTGTAGCAGGACCGCCCAGTGGACTGGACGTTGCTTTGGGTTTTGTCTCATCAAAAGTTATGTTCAAGTCCTGCCTGTTGGGACCTGTGAAGGTGACCCTATTTGGAAAGAGGTCTTTGTAGGGGTGCCTACTATTCTAAGCCACTCCTTTTGTGATCCTATGTGACGTCAGCCCTGGGAAACCAGCATAGGTACCTTTTCATAGTATTCCACACAGTTGCATAGTATTCCACATCACCGCGGCTGGTTTCCTCATCCCTTACTGATGGATATGTGGGTGGTTTTCATTCTGCCTGGTCACCAACAAACCTGCCAGAAACATCCTGGCTCCCCCCCCCCAGGCATGAGGGCCATTTCTTCTTACAGTCAGCCACTCTGGAGGGGACTTGACAGCAGATGGTTTGTGCATTTCATGTTTTAACACACACTGCCAAGTGGTCCCCGCTCCATGCTGTTTACTTTAACCCCCTCCAAACCAGAGTTCCCTGAGGACAGACTCCACAGTGGGTCACAGCTGCCAGCTATGATGCTGCATTTGAGTCCGGATGCTGCTTCTGAACCGGGGAGAGAGGCAGAATCTTTCTTAACCCACGCCCTGGGTTTTTGAGTCCCTCTCTGAGATGTGGGTTCCCCGAACTCAAAGGGGCTGGAGAGGTTGGGGTTGCAGCGGGAGGTGACCCCAGGAAACATGGGAAGGAGGTGCAGAAGGGAAGGGGGCGAGGAAGGCTGCTTCGTGAGCGGGTTTCCACCTAGTCCCGCAGAGGGGTCTCCATGAGACCAAATGCAGCCCCCCACCCCATGAGGAGCTGGTACTCAGCCACCAGTCGCCTTCAGCCACTGGGCAAGGAGAGCGTTTGCTTTCTGGAACTTTCTACCGGCCCTGGCAGGAATCTAGCGGTCAGTGCCAGTCCTCAGGGGCTGTTCATTAGATGCTGTGGGGTCAGGTGTGGGGACATGGGTGCTGACCTTTTGGAAGAGGAGGCAGATGATCAGCAGAACAGGTAGGTCCGAGAGTGTGGGGAGAAGGGAAATGTGATCCGGTAAGGCACCGACTGCGGCATTCAGTAGGTGACTAATAAGTGTCCGTGCTTCTCTGCGGTCCGCGGGAGGAGAGCGCAGGAGTGGAGGCGCGGGGCAGTGTGGGCAGGGGCGGGAGCCGCCGGTAATGGTGCGGAAAGTAATGGGCCCTTCTCTCTGGGAGGCAGCGAGACTCTAATTAGAATGAAAATGTGGTTTAATGAGGATGGAAACGGTAATTGTGCCGGGCAGCGCTGTCCCCGCAGTCCCCCGTCCCATGGGGCACCTTCTGGGGCTCCAGTGAGCTGGGACTCGTGTGTGTGGAGGTGGGTGAAGACTGGTGCTGGGTGGGAGGCCTCGGTCCCACCCCACAGAGTCCCCGAGACCCCGGGTAGGGAGCCGGCCTGGGCCAACAGTGGACCCAAATGACTCTGTCATTTATCAAGTCACCTACTGTGTGCCAGGCACCGTTCTAGCCCCTTGATGAGATGCTAACTTCGGTAATCCTTAGAAGGACCCCCATTTTACAGATGAGGACCCTGAGGCGCAGAGGAGCATGGTGAGAAAGGTGGATTGCAGTGGCCAGGAACTCCCTGCTGACCCCCTGGCCCAGTTTCCTGGCCGTGCCACTCATTCCTTTCAGGTCTGGTGCTATTGGAGCAGGTGGGCGTGGCTAGGTGAGATGGGCGTGGCTTGATGGGGCCATGGGCGTGACTTGAGAGGCCCTGGGCGTGGCTTGAGGGGATCTGGGCGTGGCTGAGCAGCTCCCCTTGACTTCAGGAATGGAGGCATTAGGCAAAGCCAGGGTTCCCATGCCTGAGCTTCCTTGTCCTGAAAACTTCTTCAGGGTTCTTCAGGTGTTGGTCTGCGAGAGACTGAGGTTTATAAGCCCTCAGGGTCTCCGCTTTGCCTTCTTGAGGTACTGCAAAGAAAACACAGCCTGCAGAGGATTCTTTGTCAGAACAGAAACATTCGCTGGGGTCAAGTGGGCAGTAAAAATAGATTTTCTGAACTTTCAAAAGGGGTCCCAGATCAAAGGAGATTAGATTGTTTACCACCTGTGTAGCAGACAATGGGTGAGGAGCCTTAATATACCAAGAGCACTTTGAATCAATAAGAAAAAGACAAACATCTCAAGTGTGAAATTGACATAGGAGATGAATAGAGGGTTCACCAAGGAATGATAAAAAGTCAATAGACTTCTGCAAAGATGCTGTCTGACCATTTTTCAGCTAAAGAATTGTTTTGTTTTTTTTTTTTGATACCAGGTATTGAACCAGGGCCTCTTAACCACCGAGCCACATCATCAGCCCTTTTTTAAAAACTTTTTATTTAGAGACAAGGTGTCGCTAAGTTTCTTAGTGCCTCACTACGTTGCTGAGGTGGCCTTGAACTTGCGATCCTCTTGCCTCAGCCTCCTGAGACTTCAGTGACAGGCCTGTACCACGGTGCCCAGCTGACGAATCGCTTTTACTTGATCTCCCTAGTGGTGTGTGAAGTTCTGGGGATGTGCCCTTCAGCACAGCTGTGGGAGTGTACCCTGATACGAGTTTCCTGGGGGGCAACCTAGATATCACCATTAAACATTTTCAGGGCGTGAACTTCTGAGCCAGTAAGTTCACCTGCAGGAATTTATTTCAGGGAGACAATCTGTCCAGTGTATAGAGAGCTACAGAGAGTCAGGCAGGTGGTTAAGAGCCCCGAGTCCAACAACTAGAGTTCATCTGGTCCCCACCACCTTGGAGCTGTGTGGCCTTGTCACATGACTTCGTTTCTTGGGGACCTGATTCTCCCACGGGTACAAGGGGCCTCTCTGGAGGACACCAGGAGGTTCCGTGTGTGGAATGCTTAGTGGGCTTCCTGCCGAGCACAGACGAGGTGCTTGTTCTTGTCACCGTCGTTATGAAAGAAAGCTTGAAATAAAGGAAGGGCACGGGGCTGGGGGGCTGGCCAGATGCACAGTAGAAAATGCACCCGTCAAACCTGCACGCGACACCAACCCCCCAAAGCAAAAACCACCCGAGCGCCGCGACTCCGCGTGACCTGTGCAGGGCAGTAATTGGGCAGAGCAAGAAGAAAACGGGTCGCAAACATCACAGGGAGCCACCACCTATTCTAGCGTTTTGGTCCCGCCTTAGGGGATGTTTCACATTGCAGTGGCGTCCACCCGGGTGAGGGTGGAGACGGTTTCCCAAGGCGAGGTTTCTGGGTGCGGTGGGTCCCCACCTCTCTCTGCCTTCCTTTCTTCTGCTGCGAAGGGCGAAGGGCGGCGGGTCCCAAAGGGGATCGGAAACCAGGGTTGGGTACTGGGGGTCGGGTACTGGGGTGGTCTCCTCGGGTGGCTAAGAGACAGGCGGGTGCTGCCTGCCCTCTGGCTTGGTTTCACCCCATTATCGGGGTGCAGCATGAACGCGTGAGCGGGGTGTCCCATGTGCACATGTGCCGGCTCGTGTGCCCAGGCTGAGTGGCGGGACCTTGGCCTCAGACCCTGGGGGCCACTCTTCGGGGGTGTCCAGGACTCACCCCTCACCGTGAAGGTGTGGTTTCTTTTTGCGCTGGGCCCAGGGCCTCTCCCCTGGCCATATTCCGGGGCGATATCTTAGAAAATCCAAGTGAGGGGAAAGGCATCGGAACCAGCCACCAGGGGGTCTGTTTCCTTTCCTGTCTTTTTTCCTCCTTGGCACAGGGGATCCGGTCCAGATGCCCTCGACCCTGAGCCTTTTAATTTTTTTTAGGACAGGGTCTTGCTAAGTTCCTGAGGCCGGTCTTTTT